AACAAACTGAGCGCAGCGAAGGAGCTAAGCCAAGACTCTCACTTCAGAGGAGACTCTCTGTGGTTACGAGGCGTTCGATCGTGCTGGCATCTGTCTGTTTGTGTGGGACACGCTGTTACAGTAACTCAAGAACACCAGACTATAGGAACTTTAAAAAGTTCACAGCGCTGCTCCCTCTGCACAACAGATGATCTGATTAGATTTTGGAGTGACTCGCTGCATAAATTTGCATTTCAATGTGGAAAAACCAATGTCTTTGAAACTACTGTAACTTCTCAGTGCGTTCAAGAGGCAAAGATCACACTGATAGAAATCTTTGCTTATCATTTGTCTTAATGAACTGGCTAATTAGCATAACTGGTTGTGTTTAATTTATCATTAGGGAGATGAGTTGCCTGTTGTTGTCTAACTGTGTTGGAAAGTCATGTGTGTCTGAAGGTTTCTGCTATGATACATGATTAACTTTACATGTAGGATTAAAGTTGCCTGGGGAGAGACACACAAAAGTAATGTTACAGACAGAGTGTGACTCCTGCGAGTATGTACACCATAACTGTTGCTGATTTTGTCCGTACAGCTGTGAAGAAGATGGAACATGGTTTGGCACGGGGGCCATGCTGAGACCTTCATGACTTTTACATGACAGACAGGTGGACTAATGACATATGTGTGACCTCAGCAGACTGTCCTCTAAAGTAGAAAGACAGCATCTGTCATTTCAGCAAGTGCCCCAAAATGACATGTTTACATCCCAGTGACAAAAATCCTCCATTTAGAGGAAGTCAGGTGACATTAATATAGAGTGACAAAGTCAGTGTGGAGAGTAACGTATTTTGACATTTTATTTAGAGGACTAGTTGGACGTCAACCACACAAATTTTCGTACATTTACTTCTGATAGATTCTGGTAAATTGTGCTGCAAATATGTGTTTTTCATTATTATTTTTCACTTTTTCAACAATTGTTATAGTCCATACATATTTGTAATCTGCTTGGAACAATCATATGTGCCTAATGTGTTTTTTTCCGCGAAAAAAGGATATCATTACCGAATTCAAATCCTTAAAAAGGCATCTACGACTTCCATACATAAAGTACATTTACACAGTTTAAATGTATAGTGAGGGCTTGACAACAGCTGAAGCACCTTCAAGTACCATGAACGAGTTTACAGCATGAATGGCTCTAATGAGACTGGCCAACCTAATGTCTTCCTCAATCAATGAACTACACAGGGTGTTGAACCTCTAACTGGCAGTCTTTCTCTTCCTCACTTATTAACATGTGGCTTCAGTTAACACGAGAGGAGGGATGTTGATGGGAGTAGTTGCAAGTGGAGTAATAAAGACAAAACCACAGAGTAATATGTATTGGCTGGTGGTTAACAAGTCCCCTGTCTCCGAACCACAGCTCTTCCCTAAGTAACCTTCTGTAACGTGCCGGAGAGTTGTCGCCTGGAATATTAACGATGATGCTTCTTCATGATGAAGATGGAGGGTGATAAATACTGAATGGTGGCGCACAGTTGAGCAGGTACAGTGGGGTGTTATTAACGCTGCCAGAGTGAACGACCACACTCCTTCTGGGTGTGTAGATGCATTTTGATAGCTTCCACCAAAACGTATCAATTACAGCAGCTGCAGAGTGATGAGACTCAGCTCTCTCAACTGGAGGGTTTCCTGACTGCATCCTCAGTGCGTTAGTCAAAACTGATTGGAAAATTTACTGGAGGCCTAAATTGTACAGTTTTGGTGTGAATGTGTCATAGTTAAGGTGAAGGTCAGACGAAGCATCATCCACCATGTCAGAGAGGACAAGTTATACAAATGGCTACCTAGCAGTGGGGTGAGCCTGTCATAGCGGCAGGGGTATGATAAAGTCAGATTGCTTGTTGTTGGTACAAGAGATCAATAAATAGGCTACAATAAAAGTCTAATTTACCTCTATATTGGATGTACAGGATAAACTCATCATCACATACAGTGAACATGAGCAGGGTTCTCGAGATTACGTTGGGTAGCCTATCTATAGGTCATGGTCATAAATTGTAGCCGCATGCTGATGGTCTGCACAGGTGACAAACTGGAAGTCATACAGTGTCTTGCTGCCACACACACATGAACAGTGTAATTTTTGCTGTCGATAGCTGTTTTTGTAGAAAGTAGAGCCAAAAGGGGCCATAAAAAGAGAAGGTCTTCTTGCCCATCAGGGTTTTTAGTACCATTAACAACCAACATGATTCAAGGTGTGTCAAATCTCATAGAATCCTAGAAATTCAATTTATGGTGGTGTAGAGGAAATGTCAGGGGACCACCAAAAGTCATTAGAATGAATCCTCTGGGGACCATAAATATCTGAGCAAAATTGTGGCAATCCGTCCAATAGTTTGGGCCAAAGTAGTGGACCGACTGACCAACATTGTTATCCATAAAACCTAATTGCTAAATGGGAAGTCTTCATGAAAACTGTTGCCCTTTAAAAAAATTAGCCGGCAATTGGCGATGGCAGCAAAAAATGTCCTTTTTCGAGAGAGAGAGAGAGAGAGAGAGAGAGAGAGAGAAAGAGAGAGAGCGAGGGGTAAAGACAAAAGGACAGAGACAGAGGTAAAGGTGCACAGCAACAACAGTAGCAACAACTACACTAATAGTGGTGACTGATGGTGATGATAGTGATGAACATGAAGAAGATGATGACGACGACGACGACGACGACAACTACAACAACAGCCACAACGATGGGGGACAATGAGCAGTGATAATAGTAATAATAGTAACTGTAGTAATAATAAAAATAATAATAACAATAATATCAGTAATATTAGCAATGGGAGTCAAGCAGGACCATGGCAGGAGGCTCCACCAGGATCCATGAGAACCTGGGAGACGAGAAAGCACAAGAACTCCGGGGAAGAAGTGAAGTTAGTAACATGCATTAATGGGACATGAACGAGTGCAGAAAGAGACTCAGGGAAGTTTCACTGAGAGCCCGGCTCCTCTGGCACTTTAGCGGTGGTAATGAGGGAAGTGATGACGCTACGTTTTCTTTCCTTTTCAGAATGATCCTGATCCTGGATACCCTGAATCTATCCAGATATATAGCAATCCAGCAACCTTACAATCACACGCTGTTACACGAATACATTTACTTGTAGATCAGCATGGCCTTACACATTAATAGTCAAAACATAACAGAAATAATTCAATAATTCAATTCACTACAAAAACAGCTGAGTTTGCGTAAAGAAAAACTTTATTCAATAGAAAACACCTGAATTGGAGACTGAACTGATTTAATTAGAGTCAGGGGTAAACATAACTATCTATAGATAGAAACCTGCCTGCCATACTAATACAGGACAGACACAGGACAGTTCAGAAAGGGAGTTTTGTACAATGGCTAAAACGCTGAGAAAATATAATTGAAATGCAGCACGGCTCACTCGGGGCGAGAGGTAAATGTTAAACTCCTAAATCAGGCCCTCAAACTTCATTTCCCCATGTGGGAGACCTTTACAGCACATCAGCAGGGGGAGAACTTCTTTTATTGTTAAAGCATACAGCATTTGGAAGAGCCGAAAAACTCGAATCCACCTGCTGCTGTGGCTGGCATACAAACAAGTGTTTACTCCCCTCCTCGGGAACAACAATGGTTCATCATTATGAACCTTTTTTCGGGTGAGGTGTATGTCTGAATGTGTGTGAGCTGCCTAAAGTGGTTACATTGTTGGACTGAATGTGTACAGGAGCAGCTCTGGACAGTTGTATTCATTAGCCTGTAATGATGCCGGAGACATTAAAGCGGCAGTGATGAGGTTTGAAGAGCTTAATGATCCAGATGCTATTAAAGTTAAGTTGGAGGGGAATAGGATCCGACTGGGAGTTTTGACTTTCTGGTTTTTGTCTGCCGCTCGCTCGCCCGTCTATTTGTTGGAGATTATTTTTGTTTGCTGCTTTCCTTCAGTAATGTCCTGCTACGAGTTGTTCTGAGGCTCGATGTTCCCGTTTTGTTTTGATTATTTATTTATTTTTATTACAGCTTCTTTCTTGTTGTTTTTACATTTGTTTGCTCCAAATCTTCTCTCTCCCTTTCTAAAAAATACCAGAAAATATCCCACTCTGTTCTAAACATGTCCTCTTTCTCCCTTTAATTATTATTGTGTTATTTATGTATTTGTTTGTATCAGATATCCTTATTAATTAATCTGTCATGTTATCTTTAAAATGTAATCTGTTACATTATTTAAAAAAAAATACAGAAAAATGCCAATTACAAGTGCCCAGAAATAATGTTTTGTTTCATCTGAACAAGAGGCTATCCAATTTACGACGACATAAAACTGAGCGAGCAGCACATTTAAGAGACTTGATAAATGATTGAAATTATCAAATGGATTATCAAAATTACGGACAGTTTGGTGTCAATTAACCCATCAATTTGAATCCTTTCAGCACTACTTTATGTTACCACCAACCAAAAGAAAAGATAGATTTCAGTTCTTTTCGACCTTCAAGTTGTGAACACTGACAGACAGAGACAAAGGGGAAACTCTTCTGTGATCGACTGAACAGCCCCACATTCAGAAACTAAATTGCATTTTCATTTACAACCTTCTGTATGGTTTAGAAAACCCAGAAGAAATAGAAGCAGACACGTATCAAGGACCATGTAAAATTGGTCTTTACAAGGATTTGGGTGGATCAGAAATGGGAAACCAGTGGCTGTGTGGAAAGGCTCTACTTTCTACAAAGAAAACAGCTATTGACAACTGTCTGTGTCACCTGTCCATGTAGAAATTCTTATGATTGCCATTGCCATTGAAATGGAATTTGTGTACTTCACAAATGGTACTTCATCCACGCTGGACGTGTCTATGGCCGAGGCAACTCTACATTCACATATTAAAACACATGACTGTGAGAGAATAACTGGACTTTACTCAACCTTCTGAGTTTATTTTCTACCTGCTCATGATCTGTCTGTCTCCCGCTCATGTCTGCAGGAAACGCCTTCGTGGTGAGCCTGGCTCTTGCTGACTTGGTAGTCGCCATCTATCCCTATCCGCTGGTCCTGACCGCCATTTTCCACGATGGCTGGATCGCCGGCTACATCCACTGTCAGATCAGCGGCTTCCTCATGGGCCTCAGCGTCATCGGCTCCATCTTCAACATCACGGGCATCGCCATCAACCGCTACTGCTACATCTGCCACAGCCTTAAGTACGACAAACTCTTCTCCAACAGCAACACCATGTGCTACGTCGTGCTGGTCTGGGCTCTCACCATCCTCGCCATCGTACCCAACTGGTTCGTGGAGTCGCTGCAGTACGACCCACGGGTGTACTCCTGCACCTTCGCCCAGTCGGTGAGCTCGCTGTACACCATTACGGTGGTGGTGGTGCACTTCATCCTGCCGATCGGCATCGTCACCTACTGTTACCTGCGTATCTGGATCCTCGTCATCCAGGTGAGGCGGAGGGTCAAGCCGGACTCACGGCCGAAGATTAAGCCACACGACCTCCGCAACTTCCTCACCATGTTCGTTGTGTTTGTGCTCTTTGCCGTCTGCTGGGCGCCGCTGAACCTGATCGGCCTGGCGGTGGCGCTGGACTCCAGGCTGAGCCGGGCGATACCGGAGTGGCTGTTTACAGCCAGCTACTTCATGGCGTACTTCAACAGCTGCCTCAACGCTGTCGTCTACGGTGTCCTGAACCACAACTTCAGGAAGGAGTACAAGAGGATCGTCCTGATCATCTTCAAATTTCACTGCTGAGACGATACGTTCAAAGAGTGTGTGTGGGGGGGAGGAGAGAAGAACTTGACCATGACAAAGAGAGGGAAACAGTGCTAATGAAAGGGAAAGAAAACAAATCTGGAGAAAAAAAACACTTTGTATGAGAAAGAAAAATAGAAGAACTTTAATAGCTGGGGGTGTGGAGGAGGAAAGGTGGAGGGTAGAGTTGAAGTGAAATAAATGACGCCACACTGAGAGTTATCAGTGATGCCTTCAGGGAATCTGAGAGACTATAAAAATACAGAGGAAGGGAGGCAGGGACCAAAGCTTGGGAGCAACTCTTAACTTAGTAATGTGTTTTATCATGAGTTTTTTGGTAACAAAGTCATGACTTACTGTTTAAATAAAAAAAATGAATTGCTACTATTGTTTTTGTCAACTCAATAGTTTAATTTGATGTTGGATTACTCAAACATTGTGATTATCTTCTTCCCCCTTGATTCATTTTGATGCATAAAATCCACCATGAGCTATTTTCAATACAGAAATACTCAAAATACAGTTTTTTGGTTTTTTTTAAGGACAGAGGACGTCAACGCTGTTTCTGTTTCTTTATTGTTCATAGAAGAGAAATCTGAAACACAAGTGTTTTTTGAAAAAAGAATTTATTGAATAGAATAACAAACTGGTGCTTCTGTGGAATATAAAGTGGTGTCGTCTACTTTTGAATTAAGAAATGAGTAAAGGTGCTACACACCTGACAGCCTGGCCAACAGTCTTCTTGGTTAAAGTCCTGCTTGTTTACAGTGATTATTTTTATATTTTGAATTTGACATTGATAATTCTTTGGAGTAACAAGCCAAAAAGGATGAATGGAGGGGCAAGAGCAAAATCAGAACTTTTTCTAATTTGAATTGACCAATGACTTGTGACTTGTGACTTTAAATGACTTGATAGCATTCTCAAGCCCAAAGATAAACGTTCCTGCTGCGAATACTCTAAAGTAAATTATTGACATAAATAAATACACCCATGGTCTTGATGCTGAGGCTCTGGCAAAGACTCACTGGGTTGTGTAACAAAGAAAAGGAACATGGCTCGGCGCAATTCAGCATCATTAAGCAACAGCTTGGGGGGTAACAGATAATCAGGATACCAAAAAAAGGTAACTGTAACCTGTAATCGGATCATTTAGTACAAATGGGGATTATCAGCAGGATCAGAATTTTAGATTTTAAAATAAAGAACGATATACTACCACCACTGTGGTCTCGAGTGAAAATATAGACAATCTTACAGTTCACAAATTTAACTAATAACTTTTAGTCTTTACAGCAGAAAAAAGGAACAACATCAAAGCACAGTGCAAAATTTACTTCATGAAAAACACATTTTTCTTTAAAGAAATCACATTTTTGATGCTAAAAATCTTGGTTGGTTACACTGTTCTGTTGTCTTATAGACTACACATTATCAATAATTGTTTTCTCTTGTCTTTATTTGCCTATTTGGTGTTGAGGTAATGCAAAAGTAACAGAAAGCAATCAAGTTACTTTAATATCGAGATAGTCCGATCAGGTTACGACTACTGTTCTTAACAGGAACTTAATAATTGTATTGGATTATTTTTAAAGCAACCCACCCAACCTTTTTTCAGCAATGCTCTGCGTTGGCAAATCAAATATATGTAATTACACAATCCCAGAAAATGAGCTTGTAGCATGAATGGCGTCGTGTCTACCTCGTAATCGACAAGGCTAAAGTTCTCTCTCATAGTAATAAAATCTGCCCTGCATTTTTTTGCTGTCTTCAAACCCATTTATTCCTCAGTCTGGACTTCCTGGATAGTAATAAATCACCTCACTTATAACTATTGCCATTGCACTAACGCAGCCACAAGTATTTTTGTGTATTTTGGTATGAAAGTGGCATAAATATAAATGTTAACACGACACATTGTGAAAGAACAAGAATTTGTTTTACTACTTTTCAATTTCTGATTATTACTATAACTCTGCTGTTTTTACATGTTGTGAGGGGGCCAGAATGACTTGTTAACGAACTGAAACTCCAAGTTTAGGACATGGACTCCAACATTTGGAACTGAGACTTGTACTTGACTTGTAAAACAAAGACCCACCCTTTCCTCTCTGATGAAAGCTGTTGCGTCTTTTATCCTCTGGGTCTTAACTCTTCACGTCATCAGTTTCTTCTACCTGAGCCAAGAACAAGTGGCATGGACTCGGACTCTACACATCTTCCACATCGTGCGTTAATCTGCTTAGATGATACGAGGATGTTTTCTCACATGTGGATCGGACGAGTCTGAGTGTAAAACACTTTAATGAACAAAACCAGAGTGAAAAAAAGTCACGGTGTCTCTGCCGTTCAGAAGCAATACTGTGTGCTCTTTCATTTCTAACTCGTCCTCACACATGAAAAAACTCTTCATTCCAGTTGCCAGAACACACAGAAGTTCTCACACGCTGTGTCCGATTCCCAAATCACACACCCTCCCGGCAATGAGCATATTTACTCTACTCTTCACATTTGAATATCAAACATAAGAATGACATAAAAAAAGAGACATGAAAATGAGTAATTAAGTTGTGTTGTTCTGAACAGTATTCTGACCACATCACTGTGTTTCACACTCCTGGAAAGTGGAAGATGAATGTTGCATATGTATGAATAAGCGGGGTGCTGCTGCTGTGATAATCCGCCTGTGCTTCAGTCCCATTTTAATGAGCTCACTGTGTGTGTGTGTGTGTGTGTGTGTGTGTGTGTGTGTGTGTGTGTGTGTGTGTGTGGATCAGGATGTTCTGGGACCAGTTTTTCACAGGGCCAGCTGTGGGAGGGCGTGTTTGCATAAGTCTTTGTTTCATTTTTGTGCCAAAATGTTGCCGGTTCCAAACCCAGGGAAGGTCTTAATTGGGAAATTTAAAGTGAAGTGCTCTTTTGTGGCTCAGTACCCAGTAGGCATTAACTGAATGATTTGCTAGTCGAGCAACATCTGATCAGAATCTGAGAAATACACAGAATTTAGAGGAAGCTTTAGAGGGGCCGGTTGGATGATTTTGTTATCTAGACTAGCTGTTTTCACCAGTTTCCACAGTCTTAATGCTAAGCTAAGCTTACCAGCTGTTGGTTGTAGCCTCATATTTGCAAGACATGAGAGTTGAAGCCGAGATCTTTTCATCAAACTCTAAAACAGAAAATTAATACATTTATTTTCCAAAATGTCCAACCATCTGTTCTTTCTTTCTTTCTTTGGTAGTAGTTTAGCCAATGTAGTACATTTTGCTATCTGACAGTTGTTTTGTTTTGTTTTTTACTGCTATTTTTAAGGTAAATTATGAACAGTCAAGCTAAGCTCTGGGTATCTTTGTTAAAATTCAGCTTTTGTTTCAAGAATCAAATATATAATAATTGAAATTATGTTAAAACAAGGGTTATATGTAACCTATATCTCTCAAAAAAAAAAAAGTTTCCCAATTTTGGGCTAGAAGCACCTGCAAACTTAAATATGTCCACTGGGTAATGACAGTGTGAGCCTTTGAAGAAAATAGTTATGTGGGTGGAAAACGTGGAGGTGAGGCAGAGTTTCTCTAAAGTACATTTTCCTGATCATTTTACCCTTCTTTGAAAGTTAAAAAGTTACATATTAAATTTAAAAAATGTGTTAAAGAGTAAAACCTCCCCAGTGCAGATGGATGTAAATTTCCATCCGTATGAGCTGGAGTTAGTAAATCAACCCCAGGAGTTGGCTAGTTAGAACAACCTTGTGAGGACAGCAGCAGATAATTGGCCCACTGAGGGTTTAAAAAATACAATACTGGCCTTTAACCTGTAGTGGTGTAGATGGAAAGTTTCCTTTTTCTTATTTTTTTCAGCGCTAAAAATCAATGCAATGAACTGAGCTTGTTGTCGTTTGTGTGTTTGGAACAATTTAAAAAAAGAAAATATAAAAAACAAAGTGTCTGTGTCTCTGGCTGAAGGCCAGCCAGTCGCATTGGAAGCCAACAGTAAATGAGAATGTACCTGTTTTCCTTTCATACGCTGTTTTGCACATCGCCATGGAGAATGTTTCCACTGAATGTCTGTAATGTTGATGAGACAAAAGAAAACCAACCAAGCCCTGGAAAACATGTCTTAATAAAAGAACGTTCACTGTGAGCTATGTGTGTCACTTGCTTTCCACTTATTCCCTCTCTGCATCTGTGGAAGAACATTATTTTACAGTATCAATATTTAATGTATGTTGAAAATGGCCCGAAGTTCTCTTTGTCGTCAAAAGAAACACTCCCTGACTGCTGTCCCCAAATCCTTAAAACCTCCCGTCAGCTCACTTTTCATTTGTTTGAAACTCAGCTGTAAACTAGCAAAAATGGGGAAGTGTATTTTTAAAATAGGGTGATGTTGAGAAGATGGGTACCAATCTCAGGTCTGTGCATCAAGTGCAGAGCTGGAGTCGGGAGGCAATGAGCCTAGCTTTCAAACTGTTACAGGACGTAGCTTCCTCGAAACCCAAAAACTTAGTATGTTATTAGTATGTTGTTGCCATGTTTTTGAACTTTGTACAAAGCCAGGCTGTTTACCCCTGCCTCCAGTCTTTATGCTAAGCTAACTAAGCAAAGGACTTCCTGGCTTTAGCTCCGCACTTAACACAAAGACATAAAAGTGGTATTGATCCTATAATCAAACTCAAATAAAGCAAATAAGTCTAAATTATTCCTAAAATGAACGAATGAAGGATTCATTATTTGTGAGGTATTACCAAGATGCCTTCGTATCATACCAACTGAGCTGTTCTTGTGCTAGTTCACATAAATTTGACATTCTGGTGTTTAAAGCAACATATTTTACTACAAACTACAGAACTATTTGTTTTGTCATCTTTCCTACACTTCTCTTTTTATCTAAATTCATCTCGATTCTCTTGACTTTGGCTCCTTCCGCTCCCAATCCTTTTCATGATCTCTCATGCTCCTTTCTCACTCACTATGTATAACTCATCTCTCTGCCCCGTCGTGCTGCATTCCAAATATATAAATCACTCCACCGATCTCTGTGCCTCTCTGACAATTTGGTCTACAGAAACCTCTCTCCAGAGTGACTCTCTGTTAAGCAAACAAAAACAATCCATCCCTGTGGCCTCTCCTGAGTCTGTTGCTGCGGTAACGGGGGGAGATCTGAGGGGCGTCCTGTCACTTTAGAGGAGTTGTCGCCGGGAGTGACGCCACCGGTCAACACCGTCGTCCCTCCAAACTGTTTAAACCAGGACCAAATGCAAAACAAAAAGAGGAGATTGAGGAGAGGAGGAAAGAGGAGATATAGGAGAAAAGAAATGACAGGAGTGAACGGGCTGCAGATAAGAAAGCAAAGGTGACGAGAGATTGGAGCTGAGGAGAGGCGATGAGATATTTTGCTGCCTTCTTTCCTCACTCGTTATAAATCCAGATTTAACAAAACAGCCAAAAATCAAATAGTGGAGAAAAACGTGGAAATATAGCTGTCAAGCCGAAGAGAAAGTTGGCAATAATTATCCCCATTCCTGATTAACCGCATAAATGCAGTACACATTAACACACTGGTTTGGGTCCTTCTGGGGACCTTGTTGCATCTCTCCCTCCCTCAGTTCCTGTAATAAAGGCATAAAAATGTATACAGAACAGCGTTTCTCAAACTTTGCCATGCAAGTCAAGCTTGTTAAAGGAAAAGGTTTTGTCTAAATATTCCACATGCTATTATACATTCATATATTTCCACTATTGAAGTATACATTTGTATAATATACTGTATGTCATTCTCTTTGCTTCCAGGGAACTGACACATTTAAATGGCAGGAACTTTCGTATGCATCTGCAGTAGACATTTCTTAACTGGTAGAGGTCTGTAAGAAATAAAGTGAATGTGCGTTAGGTTGTCCAAAACTTTATGAAAGATTAAAAGATAATTCAAAATGAAATATATTTCCAGTCTGACCTTTATCAGGACGATAAATCTATGTATCATCCTTAAAATCAATCATTAGATACAGCTTTGTAGACAGTTATGGATTGGTCTTTAATGAATCTCGATTGCTGGCTTCTCCTCGCAGTGTCATACATGTATATTCAATTCAATTCAGATCACTTATTTGTCATGCAATCTAGTCTGAGCTTTGCTTTAAAACTCAGCTTTCGATCACAGCCACAGTTTGAAACAAAGCCCAGTGTCACCAATAAGATTGAGTCAGTAAGATGTTTCAGCCTGAATGGCACAGACAATATGTTATAGGCTTTTTTTTAAATGTGTTGTTTCAACATCAGAAGAGTCCAAGGATGCAGCAATAGATCAAACACTCTACGTCCACGTCTCCGGTACCGGGCAGAATCACACCGCAGGACAGTATAAATCCTTGCAGCCTTTCTGGCAACATTTGATGTGATGCTGCACAGAGCGGTGAGAGATGAAACAAACAGCAGAGATTAAAATAAAGAGGAGCATGATGAGGAGAGGTGAGAGAAGAGCGTAGAGGAGATGAGAGCAATACAGCTATGAACTGAAATGGGAGAGGAGACTACAGAGAAGGAGGAGATGGGGTGGGAGCAGAAAGGGATGACAAACAGGGATGAAGAGGAGCAGACCAGAAATGCAGGGTGAGGAAAAGGTTGGGAAGGAGAGGTAATGAAATGAGGAGTGGATGAGATGAGGGCAGAGGAATAAAATAAATGAGTGGAGAGGAGAAGATTATGAAATGGACCTCTGATTTACTGAACTTTGAGTTTTTCAGGTTTTCCAGTATTAGATGTTGTGTACCTTTAACATGCGTCGCGACATGAGTGGAAGTAAAGCACTTCCTTAGGATTAGGCTTAATGCCTACATTAAAGGTCTAATGTGTAAAATTTAGGGAGGATCTATGGCAGAAATTGGATTTAATACTGATAGGTGTGTTTTCATTAGTGTGTATTAGTGTGGCTCTTTCACTGAGTCCGCCATGTTGAACCATCCTGTTTGTACAGTAGTTTCTATTTTTCTAACAGTCAGGAAACTCTCACGTTGTTTCTCGACGCGCAGCTGATCAAGTTAGGAAGAATAAATATGAAACTGGTTACACTTTCAAAATAAAGCTTGCATGCTATTTGGTTAAGTTTAGGAAAAGATAAAGCTATGTTACGTACCTGACTGAAGTACATGAATAAAACAATCGTCCCTTCTTCGTCACTGTCATTTCTTTGCCTTTGGTGCAGACTTTCAGGCTCTTTATACTACATCGGCTGACTTCGACTGCAGGCCTGGCCAACATTTTGAAGCGGTCGGCTACTGACCAAGTTGCAGCATTTGACGACTTGGGATGGATTGGATCTTGATGCAAAAAAAATGCATTTGATGCAGTCAATATAATAACAAAAGCTGGATTACCAACTGGGCATTATGGGAAACTACCCATGGGCCCTAAATCTCCAGGAGGCACAAAAAACTCAAGATTCACTGTTTGCGGATTGTGGTTCAGATATGCAAACTTGTTGTAAATTTGTTGTGGGTCCTGCATTATAACCTGAGATTGTGACCCAAAATATGGTCCCATTATTTTCAAATAGGGTTGTCTTTAGTAAAATGGCCACAAACTGATTTACACACAGAAATCCTGCAGACAGGTTCCATATTGGCCCCACAGTAGATTTTTGCCCCTGGGGCCCTCTAACAGGTTAGTCCAGCCTTGGTAATAACTGTCAATGTAATAAAAGGGGCAGGAGGGAAGAGAAGTGACAGGAATGGAGAGGAGATGTAATGAAAAAAGAGATGAGACAAGTGGAGCAGGAGGAGTGCGTAGATGAAAGAAAGGGAAGAAAAGCAGAGTTTGTGATCTGAGATTAGAGGAGAGGAGGTGAGGTGTCATGGAATCTGAGGATGGATGGACAAATTCTCTGGCACTGAATGAAAGTGAAAATGTATTAATGCTTTTATTATTTATTACATTTATTCATGCGTCCTGACAGGGAAATTGAAAGGAGAAGGAGGAGAAACAAGAATATCACATCTTGTCTTCTCTCCTTCTTTTTCAATGCATTTGTCTCCTCCTGCTTTCATCTTCTTTCGCTCCTCCCTCTCTCTATAAACACGTATAAATCATCCAAAGCTGCAATTTGCAAAGCACTTGCTTTTTTATGTGCTTAAAGTTCAACGATGCATTAAAAATGGATTCCACAGCAATGAAATGAAAACAACCTCCGTGCATGTTACATCTCTCAGGTAAACTCCTGCTCCCGTTGTCACAACGTAGTCAGCTGTGAGCCTGAATTTCAATGTAGTCACAGCCAGTCAAGAGGAGAGGGGCTGAGAGATGACCCCTGGATGAAGAAAGTGCAGAAGGTCAGATTTCTAATGGCCTCACAGGAGAAATCCATTGATCCCTGCACGTGGAGCTACACATCAGTACGGATAACAGCGGCCCTCCTCCTTGTGTTTTTAATTCAACAGAAAACATGGCAGCTTGCTAATAAGGGACTGTCCCTCTTCATCATGTGAAGGTGCAGAATTCACCATTTTAGGAGAAAGGTCAGCTAAGGTAATCTACTCATGGTACTGTAATTAAGTTTTTCAAGCCAGAAAGTTTCACTCTCACCTAGGTATGCATTATACAATGTAATCTATTACTTCCACTGCAGCAGGCACAGGTTTGGAGAGGTGACCACGCTGACCAAAACAGCACAGGAACTTCTCATATTTAAAATATTTTATTCAGATTAAGGCATTATCGCTCTTAAAGGACCAATGTGTTGGATTTAGTGACATCTAGCAGTGAGATTTCCAACAGAAATACTTAACCAAGTGTGTAGGAGACTGTGGTGGCTACAAAAAATGCGAAACAGGATAATAATAGCTCATTCTAAGGTATTATACACTAATGACTATTATATTCCACTTCTGCCTATAGTTCCTCCTGAATGTTACACGCTGGACCTTTATTGAAGGGATGTTGACAGATCCGTCTGATGCTGAGCTGCAAACTGAAACAAGTGAAGAAATGTTCCTGTTTTGGTGGAGTGTGAGAACAGCCTTCAACAGAAGCTGAGAGGTCACAGAGACAAAGCTCACAGTGTCGACAGGTGAAATCTCAGAGTAAGAAAACCATGAAGAGTCATTGGGCAGAACCGACCCCCATAAACTCAGAGGAGCTAAAAACGGTCTTG